ACATTTGCTTTGCAGTACTCCAAAAGCAGTGCATTAGGCTTGTTCAAATATAAAATTAGAAAATTGACGTGATGAGCTTTAAACATCTTCAGTCCCAATTAAAAAATTTTCCGTATGCTTAAAATGTGAGAAGGCAAATATATCAAAAGCATAATTAAAAAAAACCTTGTTATTAATAATATTTTTGTGTTGTTCAAAGTGATTGTATGTGTAAGTCAGCATAGGAAGGCAGCAGAAATACCCACAGACCCATGGCAGAAAGATAGAAAAAATATTTTTATGTTTTTGTTATGTCACCTATGGGGAGATTCCTGAAGTAACACCTGGGCACAGGAACAGAACCAGAGATACAAGAACCACTAAGCTCAATCCACACTACAGAATCACCTGTCTGCTCTTTACACTTGTTTATCAAGGGTTTGTGCTGCTGTAATTTGCCTGTTGTCTTCACCGTGCTCTAACCTTCTCCACACCAAGGCAGAGGAATCGAGCATTTCTTATGAGGCACTTAAAAGTGTACCAAATATCTGTGTTTACACATAGATGTTCTCCTTGTGAAACAGGATAAACAGCAGTAGGTATGATCTGGGTGTCCTACATTGTACTCTTCAGAGTATGCATATACTCCCAGCTGTAAGGTCTGTATTCAGTCCTCCTCACCACTGTTTTGTTCCTAACACATCCTCTTTGCCTGTCTTCCTCTTTTAACCCATTCCTCCTAAATGTGTGAAATATTTCAGAGTGTGCGTGTATGTGTTCACTGAGGGAAGAGGCACACTGGATTAAGTTGATAATTGAGAGGAATTTTTAGCATATCTAAATTCTCCTGAATATATTTCAGACATGGAAAATGGTTTCCAAAGGAATTTCCTCTAGATTAATGTCTCTGAGAAAAATACAAACATTTCAGAGCAAACCAGAAAGTCTTTTTTTTTTAACATCATACAGGAACAAAACAATCAAAACATAGCTGAAAAAGTTTTTCTATTATTATTGTCTGCTGCTCAAAGTCTAGCATGTTTTTATTACTTCTAAGGATAGATGTTGAGATTCAAATTTGCAACGAGTAGGAAATTAGAGAATAAACATTCAGCAGAAATAAAGGCTGGCATCATCACATTGTGTTGCTATTTTTAGTAGTCAGTACTTTCAATTTGGTTTGAGCAGGTCCATCTTTGTCAAAGCAAGAACTTCGCAGTTGTGCGATACATGTAATAGCAATGAAAACAAGGAAATTTATTCTAGCCTTGAACCACTGAGCTATAAAAATCTGAAGTATCCTGTGTTAACCCAATAAATTGTAATTGTAACATCATAAAATAACTCAATGCATTTATTTCTCATCTGTGTTTGTGAGAAAAACAGTGCAGAAAAAAAAATTATATGCAGTACAAATCTATTTAGAGCAAAGAAACTTGCAGTAAAGAAAAAAAATAAAGACAAGAAGTGTTGTAAGTGCATTGTGACCTCGCCTTTGTAATAAATTGAATAACCACAGCTACAAGGACACTGCAAACAAAACAAAAGATGTACAAACATACATTGGTTAGGATTTTTAACAAACTGGTAGTACCCTATCATCCCTGTAATAACACTGGGACTGACACAACATGATACTTCTTGTATCAGAATGATGTCCCTGGTTTGAAGTACTTCTAAGTAAACTATAATGGGCAGCTGCTTCTTCTGACAGCCAATCCCTATCATCTGAGCAGAAGAGGAGTGCCATTTCTAAAAGGGGAGAGAGTTACATGTGACTACTGGCAGGGAGGGTAGAAGGGGTGGAAGTCGAAAACGAGGGGGAAAATAAAACCTGATACATGAAAAAAATGCAGCTGTTACAAGAGAAAGCAGGAGACATTATATGGGAAATTTTGACAAAAATATTTTCAAATTCTAGTACTGAGGTTATTTCTCGAAAAATATTTTATATACAATTTCAAAAAGCAAGTGTTCAAAAATTTTACTTCAATTTTGTTCCTAAGAATACTTTTCTGCTGTTTCTGGCTTTTTTTTGTTTGTTTGTTTGTTGTTGTTTTTTGTTTTTTTCTCTCTCTCTTTAACAATGGAGAAATCTTTATTTGACTACAGTATTCAAACTGAAAAGTATTTTTTGCCTTCCAGTGTATACAAAGAGGGATCTTCACTCAGTTCAATAGAGGTTTGTCTGTGTAGAGACCTAGAAAATTATTATTTTGCCTACATGTAGACATCTACCATTGTCTCAAAAGCTTTAGCATGTTTCACCTAACCTCTGGCTCCTCTTTCAAAAAGGCAAGAGGCATTGCATTCATCCACATTCTATCCTGGGTTTGTCATATCCTACCAAATATCATATCTCTTCTGTTCTCTAAATTTCTTTTGTTTAAGTAGTCGATATCCACTAATAAGATGCAACAATCACTCCTAGAGCTTGCAAATGAATCTGCAGTGTGGCTGTTTTCAAATAACCTAAGATTATGAACAGATTATACTCAGTAAAACTCTGAATATAATCAATGGAACCTATAGAACTGTTCAGATGATAGTCGGCTCCATTTTGTGGCACTGAGTTACCTCCCTGTTGACTAAAATGTGATGCTGCTAAAATGTGGACACTTTAATTAGCACTTCCACTTAAAATAAGCTGAATCTTACTCTTAAAGCTTAACGACGCAAATCTCTTCTTCTCACTTAATGTTCCCAAATCAGCCAGTAGGTTATCTTGGGGAAGGGTTGAGTTTTCTAATAACTTCCATTGTGTTCTGTACTTTTTGAAAATACATATTCCAAAGTCTAAGACGACTCTGGGAAGATCTGCACAATCCTTGATTCTTTTTCCTTCTATTTATGTGCACTCATTTCAGTTTTTTATTCAGTCTCAGATCTTAGAGAGATAGAGCTTCTCGAACGTTCTTACCTTCTTGAACTATGAAAAGAAACTACAACAACAAAATTTCTGATTTAGACACCACTTTAGTGCCTAAGCTTAATGGGGAAAATTTGATCTTCAGTTTTCAAAGCAACATAACACTTCTTGGTCTGCTGAACAAATACTTCCATTTCATTTAGTTTAGTGAATGCATATAGCATCATGGTAGTTTAAGAAAATTGTTAGCCTTCACTATAGTGTCTGTTATAGCTTACATCTGAGTATTGGTGTTAACATCTAATAAATTGATCAATCTGGATAATTTACAGTATAGTGAATCATACTGATTGTAGGTAGACAAACAGCATACACCATAATGGGCTATCTGTTCCACCCAGTTTCTCCCCTGTGACAGTAATCTCTCAGTGGTACCGCATCTCATTATCTTCAATCACATCTGTTGATATTTGCATTCCAAAAATAAAAAATACTCTAACACTGGATAAAAAAAAAAGAGGCTTAGATTATGGATATTACACCAGGTGCTAGGAAGCCTACTGAGAAAACAGTGTCAAAGTTATGCAATAGGAACACACAGCTTGCTGTTGCTTTGAGAAAAGGCAATTTAATAGCAAAGCTGGAGCACAGGGGAACACATTCAAGAACAAATAAGTAGAAGGGAAACAAAACATGAAGTAATACAGGCAAAATGAAAAAATAGGAAAATGGCCAAATGTGCATTTTCACCATCTGGCCCAGAACAAGGAGTATGTGAGATATTTGAAAAATGAAGAATGCACACGGTGCTTTAGGCAGTAAGTAAAAAATACAGTTCCATTGTTCAGGGCTTTAAAAACAATGTAAAAATGGAAGAACAAATACATCTTATTGCTACCTGCTATCAGCCCAATAGAGGCTGACTTATTTACACTGCATATTTTCTGAGCTTCTTGAAATACAGCATTACATCGGTACTTTTTGTTTTTCTTTACAGACAACAGACTGGTGAAAAGTATATTGCAAATGTATTAAAAATTCCTTATATTACATAGCATGTATGTTATGTGATTGTTTGCAATTAAAGGGACAACTCAACTGATTTATGTACATGTAAGTTTAATATTATTTGCACTCCTGTATAATTTTAATGTAAGAAATAAAATGTAAAATATGATGAAATCTAAATTTTGTAACAAATGTTGGTAATATTATGTTCAAAATTAATCTGTAAAAATTGATTGGGGTTGAAGAATTGGATACAAATTTTGAATTTTGTTGGTTTTCTTACGCCTTAGAGGAAAGAGGAAGGGATGTCAATCTAACCAACCAACCAAATTAGTTTCTACATACTGTCCAGAGCAAAATCAAGATCACCATCTGTATCCAGAACAAGAAACTCCATTCCACGTGGGACTGAGCTCATTTTAGAAAAAAAAAAAAAAAAAAAAAAAAAAAAAAAAAAAAAAAA